ACACACACACACACACACACACACACACACACACACACACACACACTCATGCGCTTGCACATACAACATGCACCTGAATAATAAAATGAATTTTAAAAAGAGAAGCAAATGCACACTTATGCCTTGTCCTCTCTTACTCCGCATCTCCCCAAGTCCCCAGAGCATCCCAGTTTGTGCTCCACAGCTCAGGATCCTCAGACTGCTGGAGTGTCCTACACTCTTAACTGCCTGACATGCCTTTGGGGAAAGTGATAGATCTTTTAAAAATGTACTGAAATCAGTCATGATTAGACCTGGAAAAAGTGGTACAAGGTCATCAACTCATCTTATAAAATACCCACTCACATTTGAGTCACTATTTTTTGGTATTCAGTGTTAATCTAATAAAAATTGTTGAAATGCCTAGTTCTAAGAGACACACACACACACACACACACACACACACATACATATGTGAGTGTTGTGTAGCTAGGTTTTTTGTTTTTCTTTTTGTCCTTTTGAAACTTTTTTCTTTATCATAGAAAGTCATGACGGTTTACATTGTGATATCTTCACACATGTATATTATTTGGAGCTTTTAATTGTTGTTCTTAAATGAATCTCAGGTACACAGAATTATATACATTATTTTTTATTTATTTATTTTTATCTTGTTTTTGGCTTTTTGAGACAGAATTTCTCTGTGTAGCTCTGGTTGTCCTGGAACTTACTCTGTAGACCAGGCTGACCTCGAACTTAGCGATCCACTGGCCTCTGACTCCACAGTGCAGTGGGATTTGCATGGGCTACCTGAGTTCTTTACCATTGTGCTGCATCTCAGCCCTGAGCTTGGTTCTTCTCCAAAGTCTCCATGGAGTTATATCTGACTTCATTGCCAGTTTTTATCCAGCTCATTGAGCAGTGAGACAGCTTTTTGTTTCTTGGTCAGAAATCACTTCACTCAAAATATCTTTGAAGAGAACATGACAAGGAATAGGTTATGTGACCCAGACAACACAGGGACAGAGAGACCAAGAGATCAGATATTTTAGTTTCAAGACTGATGAGCAAAAGTCTTTAAACTGTCCTTTACCTCAATAGGCATTTGGCACAAACCAAGAGGATTATGCAAGCTACATCATGAATGGAATCATCAAGTGGGGCGACCCTGTGACCCGTGTTCTGGATGATGGAGAGCTGCTGGTCCAGCAGACTAAGAACAGTGACCGTACACCACTGGTTAGCGTCCTTCTGGAAGGTGAGAAGAGTGAGGTGATGGCCTTAAAGGTCCAGAACATACCGAAAAGGCAGCACTTATTTTTAAAAGCTATTTAGTACATTTCAGAGAGGTAATGGTTTTCAGTTGTAAACTTCATTCATGATCTGCAAATACCTTAGCCTATGTGCCAGAATTGGGACAGATTAAAATTGGGGGTAGCATGTCACTGACAAAAGACAGCAGCTAGTTTTACAGGGATGTCTTTCTCTAGTACTTAATAGATTGATACTGCATAGCTCGGTGCAGGAAGTATTGCTGTGTGTGCAGCGACATCCAAGCACCAGGCTAGTCACAGAAAAGACTTGTAATGAAATCCTGATGGACAGTGTAGTGCACACCTTTAATCCTGGCTTTGGGAGGCAGAGGCAGGTAGATCTCTGAGTTGGGAGCCAGCCTGGTCTACAGAGTGAGTTCCAGGACAGCCAGAGCTACATAGAGAAACCCTGTCTTGAAAAACAAACAAACAAAGTTCCTGACTGTAGCATGCACATGTAAAGGGTGTGTCTGGGTGCCAGTCGCTTTACCCAGGAATGGTTAGAGAAAACTAGAGGTGATGTTTAATTCAGGCCTCAAAGGATCAGGTCAGCTTTTATCAACCAGCTAGCTTCATTTTAGTATGACAGCAGAGAAGTTCAGGGAGACCAGACGATGGGTGGGGCGGGGGGGGGAGTGTAGCTCCCCTAAGGCCTAGAGGTGAGGGCTTCTGAGAAAAGCATGTTAAGCCAAGAGCCAAAGGATGGGTAGAAGCTGGCAAAAGAATTGAGAAAGATATTCTATGAAAAGAGACCAGCATATGAGCAGTGCCTTCACAGGAAAGACCTAGAAACAGAAAGATTATCGAAACCAGGTTTGTGAAGACGGTGGGAGGGGCCAGTGCAACGGCTTGGAGGGAGAAGGTGCTTGCCATGCAAGTTTGGTGTCACCAGAACCCACAGAAAGAAGAGAGCTGTTTCTCCACAGGTGTATCATAGCATGCAAATACAAACGTGCACACAATAATAATAAATAATAATAAAACCGTGCTGGATAGGAACCATCTCTTGAAAAGCCTCATCAGCTTAAAGATTTGTACTCTGTAGGGCTAGGGATGTAGCTTGGTTAGTGTGTGCCAGCTTGGCATGTGTGATGCCTTGAGCTCCAGCACCAGAGGGGAAAAGAGAAGAGATTCAGACTTTGCCTTCGGGGCACCGGGAAGCCACTAGGAAGCTTTCTAACAGTCAAGTCACACCAGCACATTTGTAGTCTGAAAAACGCCGTTATGGCTGCTTTATGGTAGAAAATGGATAGGAGGCTCAGAAAGACACAGAAAGCTACCCAGTAGACACAGACGCATTGGCCTAGTGAGGTTCTTCTGACTGTGGATGGAAAAGCTGGGGTGACAGCGGTGCCACAGAGAAATGGACTTATCTGAGAAACGTGAAAAAGGTAGATAAAGGCTTTTAAAGTCCTTTCCATCTGCCAGTTAGCACTTCACGTGTCCTGGTTCGTCTAATCCTCACCTCAGGCCTGTGAGTACAGATGCTGTTTATTTTGGGGGTTTTGTTGTTGTTAGTAGTAGTAGTAGTTTTTCTAGATGGCTGCCCTGGAATATTATCTGTAGACCAGGCTGGCCTCGATCCTCCTGCCTCTGCCCCCCAAATGCTGGATTAAAGGGGTGTGCCACCACACCTAGCCATGGGTATTGCTTTTCTCACTATGTCGTATACAGGGAAGCAGAAGCTGAGAAATAACTAGTCAGGCTAAATACTGGCAGGGGCAGGAGAGGTGGCTCAGTAGTTAAGAGCACTTTCTGCTTTTGTAGACCACTTGAGTTCAGTTCCCAGGCCTGCTTGAGCCAGCTCACATCAGCCTGTAACTAACTCCAGCTCCAGGGTATCCGACACCCTCTTTTTCTGACACACCGCATGCACATACAGGCACACACACGTGCACGCATGCACACACATGCGTACACACAGAGAAACATATAACACCCACATAAATTTTTTTTAAACAAAATCTTTAAGTAACTATGGGCAAAGGTGTCAGACACGACTCCAAGCCTGGTAAATGGGGCTGTTTATCAGAGAACACTGGCAGAGAAACAGATTTTCAGAAGAAGGATCCTGAACTCACTCTTGAGCAGTTAAATTCCAGGTTCCTGTAGGATAATGAGCTTAGAAATGTCGACTGGCTTGTTTGATTTGCAGGTCTGAAGCTCTCAGAAGCAGCCTGGCTGCCCTAGATCCGGATCTGCCCTGGCAGTCGCAGGAGTGGATGCAGTCCTTTAAAGAAAGGGTGTGGGTGAAACACAGACAGGGCCTGGAACTTTCATCTGAGACTTGCTAACAGTTCAGGACTAAATAGAGCAGGCAAAAATGACAAGGACGACTAAGCAAGAGTAATCGTGGGGAGGAGGACGGGGGAGAGCATGCGGCCAGGCAGGCAGGAAAGGCACTTCGGGACAGAGGAGTTGCATCAAATGCCCCAGAAAAATACCTGTATGGAGTCCAGTGACCAGTGTGGGTGGAGAGTGCTACAGTTGGGTGAGGGTGGGTGAGTGCAGCCAGGGAGAAGTTTAGGAAAGTTCTGCCTTAAAGAGAAAATAAAGGGTAATGTTGAGGAGCACAAAGAGGGTTTGGACTTATTTATCGAGCTTTTTGACCGGCAAAATGTATTTAAATGCCATTGGCAAGAGACAGAGGAACTGTCGCTAGTGTCCCATTCCAGAGAGACCAGCAAGGAAGGATTACTTGGTTCCGACTGGGAGGAGGGGCATGTCTTCCAGGGCACAGGAGCCGGGTGTGTACTGCAAGTGACTTTAGGGATTTGATTGCCTTCTAGCTTGCTTCTAATAAAGCGGTGTGCCCCAGCACTCAATGTCATCTGCTAAAAAAGCCTGTATATTTTGTTATCAAAAAAGAAAAAAAAAAAAAGAAGAGAAAGACCGAAGGAACTAATGATGCGCATACTGATAAGCATTTGGATACATTTTCTTTCCTTTCAGAAGCAAAATTCTTGTGCTCTTGCTTAGTCAGAAGGTTGGGAGATGAAGGGTATGTGAGAAGGCGGGAAGGCATGCATTCCACCGCACTTTTGAGAAATGCTAATCAGTTCATTAAGCTTAGTTGCTAATAAATAAAAGGAAACATGTCTGCTGTGAAACTGTCAGGAAATGTTAATGAGCAACTAGTTGAGACCTCAGTACCTTGTGGATAAAAGTTTAAACTTGTTTGGGTCCCAAACAAGTTTGGTCTCAGGTTGGCTTTTTTCCTCCGCCTGTCTTTTTATGCAGGCCCTCCTCACAGCGGGAAGACTGCCCTCGCTGCAAAGATTGCAGAGGAATCCAACTTCCCCTTCATCAAGATCTGCTCCCCTGATAAAATGATCGGCTTCTCTGAGACAGCCAAGTGTCAGGCCATGAAGAAGGTATCAACATTTTGATTTTCATTTTAATTTCTAGTCTCAGATGAGTGTGTGCAGATGTACCCGCACATGTGTGCCTGTGTGGGCATGCGTACAAAGCTGGGGCCACTTGTTCTCAAACAGAACTAATTATCAGAATTTGAGAGCAGGCAGTGACTATTTCAGACTCTAAAACTTTGTTTTGTTGGTTTTTCAACACAGGGTCTTTCTGTGTAGCCCTGGCTGTCCTGGAACTCACTCTGTATAGCAGGCTGGCCGTGAACTCACAGAGATCCACCTGCCTCTGCCTCCCAAGTGCTTTGTAATGTGTTTTTGTTGAGAATTTCTTTGCCTTCCAAATTTTACTGTCTTAGTACACATCGACACTAATTTTCACTTCTTATCTGTATCAGTTTGACTAAAGAAAGATCACTTCAGAGAGTCGGGACAAATTCATTTTCTTTCTTTCTTTAGTTCTTTATCATCATACAGAGCCAAACTGTCCAGGTTCGATTAAGTTGACTTTAGTTTGGAAAAGAACAGAGATTAAAATACCTATGGAAGCTTTTTCCAAGAACCCCTATGGTTGTGTATCATGTGCTCAAGAAGAGCCTCTTTCTTCAACTTCATGCCCCCCTCCCCTTCTTTCCCTTTCTGCAAGTGTTTGCCACCTTCTGAATCTGACACTCTGAGCCATTAGTGAAGTTAGAGCAACACACAGCAGAGTTAGGATCATCTGATCCTTCTCACTTGCATCCAAGCAAGTACCAAGTGAGGTGACAGCAACAGCAGCTGACTGCTGGGAACATAGGGGACGAAAACGCAACGAACAGCTGTTCTTTTCACTTGGTAGCCAGCGTTAATGTTGATGTTCTAATTTTGCATACTCTTCCATGTTGTTTTGTTCTGTTTGAGTGAGCCTGGCACAAGTCAGGCAAGTACTCTACCTCTGAACCCTTCTCCGGCCTCTCAGGCTTGTGTCTTTCCTCTAAAGGCAGCCCTCAAGCTACCAGCATTGAAACTGTAACCCTCGGAATGTGTAGCCGCTGAACTTCGCACTTATGGAGAAGCTGGTTATATTTGCCTTGCCCTAAACTGTCCATTCCTGTGCCTGTTCAAAAATAGTAGCCTGTGCAGGTGGCAGGCGACTCCACTGCTTTCCAGCTGCTGCAGCTCCTACCTCACAAGTGCTCTGAGATGTGGGTGGATGGTCCTTGTTTTTCTATAAAGTTTTTAAAAAGTACTTTAGACTCCTGCAGATCAAAGCCACCTAGTGAGTGTGAGATAGTATCATTTTTATTATTTTAATCTCTTGCAAATTGACTTGAGGGGGGAAGGTAATATGTGCTGAATTTAGAGGCTTAAATGGTTAAATTAATGACTTAATAACTTATGATTTAATCTTTAAATTGCTGAAGCCTTTCAAGGTAGAGTTTTAGATGAGCAGAAAGCTATGGAATATAAAACTAAGAGTCCGTACCAGCTTATTCAAATTGTCCTGATTCATGATTCACTGTCTGGATCATCCATGCAGTTTTCAAATTAAAACAAAAAACAAAAAAAAACCTGCTCCAGCAGATTAATAACAAGTCTACGTTAGTTTTTTTGTTTGTTTGCTTTCCTTGGAATTGGGGCAGACATTATTTCCTGTAACAAAACTTCAGAACAGAGAGAATAATGGAGCATGGGTGCCTTAGGAACATATTAGAAATATGGTAAGGCTTTGCAAGCAAATGGTTTTCACATTGTCACTTAATGGCAGGCTGACCGATGCCCAGGGGCTCGCTCAGACAAGGCCCCCGGGTTAATTTTGAAAATGAAATGTAAACGCCACCTTGAATCCTTCTGGATGCCACCTTCCGCTGTTGCTGTCCCACCGGTTTCAGTGTGAGCATGAGAAAAGGGTGCTTTAACTTCCTTGTCAGGCCACAGATAATTCTAAAACAAACAAAACAAGACATTTCTGTCTGCTAAGTGTTCTTTTTCCATGTGGCTTTTTTTGAATAGCAAACATAATAGAGAAAATACAAAAATGACAGATTAAGAAAATAATCTGTATTTGTGCTTGTCCTTTGGCTCTTTGTAAATACATGCATGCACATACTTATACATACACACACACACACACTCATATTCACACTCTCTTTGAGCTGGGGGCCCAGCCTGGTCTAAATAGAGTTCCAGGCCAGCCTGTTCTACATAGTGAGATCTTGTCTCAAGAAAGAAAACCCTAAATAAATAAACAAAATGTAACTGCAGCTTACCTCAGGATTATTAACAGCGGAGTAATGCCCATTTAAAGGGTTCCTCTGGGAAGTCCCTGGCTCACACTCACCCGCAGCCCCGCCTCCAGCTTCAGGGGGTCCTGGTGCTTCTGTCCTCTACCTGCACTCCTGTGCCCGGGCACATGCACACAATTTAAAAGTTACACACAATTTAAAAGGTTGTTTCCATGTTTTATTCACAATTATAGTGTTCTGTAGAATTGCCAAACGAGAGAAATCACTGCCCTACATCTTTGTTAGATTCCTCTTAGGTTGATTATCATCATGTGACAAGTACTTGGGTTTTGATTCAAATCGACCTGGATTTAAATAGCATCTCTGTCACACTTATGGTCTCTGTCACCTGGAATAAATTATTTCTCTGCAAGCCTAAATAACAAGATATGTTAATTTAAGCTTTTGTTTTTATCTCTTTAATATGGAAGGAATGTTGGTTTAGAGCATGCTGGTACATAACCTGAATCCCAGCACTCAGTAGGCTGAGGCAGGAGAATTGTCGCATAGACATAGTGTGAGAATTAAATGAGATGATAATTTATTTAAAGTAAAATGGTACGCCTTTGATAGAATATGTATCTAAGTATGGTGGACAATTTTATTATTGTATGGGTTTCTGCTTATTTCTTTAGGATAAATCTTCAGGATTCGGATTGCTAATTATTGTTAATGTTTTTATTATAAAGGTTTTCTTTCAGATTATAATAAAAATTACACCAATTTCCCCCTTCTCTTTTCTTTCTCCAGCCCTTCCTATGCACACCCTTGCTCTCTCGAACTCATGGCTTCTTTATCTTTGTTGTCGTGTGTGTGTGTGTGTGTGTGTGTGTGTGTGTGTATTCCTATGTATTCCTAAATATATAAACACAACCTGCTCAGTGCATATAATGTAATTTGTATGCATGTTTTCAGGACTGCCCGCTTGGTGTTGGATAACCAATTAGTGTGCTCTTCCAGGGAAGACTATTAACCTCAGCATTCCTTCATTGCCTGTAGTCCTTCATCCAGGGTGGAGGACCTGTGAGCTTCACCTGCTCCATGTTAGCATGTCTATTTGTGTCATTCTTGCTCAGGTCACAGCTCACTTTTAGGCAGCCATGCTGGTGAGACTTGATGAGTTTAGCTTCTCTGACATTTCTAGGAGACACATTCTCACAGGAAAAAAAACAAAACAAAAACTTTGTGAAGATTTTTAGATGCATTGCTATCAAACTGCTACTTATTTTTAAAAAAAAAAAAAAAAGATACTACTGCTTTTACGCAGCTCATTCCTTCAAAAAACTGTGATAATTTACACTTTAAAATTTAGAAAACAAAACAAAAAAACAGATGGTGGTAGCACATGCCTTTGATCCCAGCATTCCAGAGGCAGAGGCCCATGACTCTGTGAGTTCGAGGACAGCCAGGGCTATACAGAGAAACCGTGTCCTGAAAAAAAAAAAAAACAAAAAAGAAAAGAAAAGAATGGACTTTCTTTGGATTTTTGCCCCAACTTAGTGTTATTAGATTTTTCTTTCCAGTCTGTTAGGGAGAAGGTTGGCATTTAATTATTTTGTTAGCTACATTCTAATGACTGGCTTAATATCTCTGGTAGGATATCTATCTAGCAGAAGAAGGCCTGGTGCTCCATCTCTAACAGTGTGTGTGTCCCCTAATGTTCTATAATTATAATAGTTTATGAGCTCAGAAATTACATATAACATGTTAATGTTGTTCAGTAGGAGTGGTCTGGGTTAGTTCGTTCAATATCTTTATTACCATTTCATTGCTTGGACCAGAAGCAGATAGTTTTTAGGAAGAAAGAGGGCCACAATCACTCTATTGTGTTTTCCCCCAAAATGAATGCAAAAGTACATGAAAATAGTTTATTCTCAATTAATTTCAAATTTGCCTGTACTTCTGTTACCTTCTTCAATAAATCCTTTCTGTACGGGTCCGCTCAACACTGCCAAAGTACTTAGGAAGCATTGTCCTCTCGTTCTGGGTGGGGAGAGGAAGTATCATATGCTCCACTAAGATATTTGAGATATTTACAGATATTTCTTTTTTTTTTCTCCTATTTTATGTTTGCTTTCCCAACTTTATTCTGTTCTAAAATTTTAATTCTTTTATTAATTTTCTTTTTGCATCTACACTGCAAAAATCTATTTTGCTGGCTGTTGATGACTTTAAATGAAGAGAACAAAGCAATAGAATTTTATTTTAACCAATTACCTAGTCATGATGCTTCTGAGTACACACTTAGTACCAAGGTAGAGTACCACTGAATTTTTTTAAGACAAAACTAAATGAAAACCTTGGCAGTTTGTGGACCTTCTATTAATAGCATATTTCTTATTTTCAAAGGTTTGAAAATTAACAGAAGAAACTCTCCTTCCCACTAGCTTTGCGAGGGAGAGCTAATCTTCTGTGAATACCCTGCTGCAAATCCACTGCAAACTGTAGTCTGCACAGAACAGTCATGCTGCCTAATCCTCCTCTTTTCATGCTTTAGCCCGTACAAAGGGCAGAGCTGGAAACTGGATCTTCTGACAGCAGTTACTAAGCAACAGAATTTGGATGTTTGGGGTTGACATCCTAATAATATCATGGAGCCGATTCGGTGAAGCTTGAGCACGCATGAGCTGAGCGGCGTGGGCGCTCCAGAAGTGGCTGAGGGCCGTGGTGGACATCCCCTGGCTTTTGGGTGAACACACTTGTCTTTTTGCCCAGCATGTAAAGGAGGAGCAGAGCTTTGAGACCACATGGCTTTTAGCCGGTGAGGCACACCCTCTCTGTGGATCACGGTAGTGAAAAATGTAAGACTTTTTTCCTGAAAAGCAGGGAGAACAAATAAGGGATTTTAAGGTCAATCCAAGAAGCTTTAGTGCTTTGCCGAAACTTGAGGTCCACTTCCTGTGCAGCCTTGTCGGGAGACAGCTGATGCTTGCTTGGACTGCTCCCAAATTATTTTTCGAGACCAGAGATTATTACTGATAGTGCCAATTTAAATTCACTCATTTACGTTTTTATATGCCACCAAATATGATTACCGTGTGCTTGCCACTAATTGCTGACAGATTTACTGCATTAGGGATTTTCTAAGCCATTAGCTTCCTCCTGTCATTAGATTCCTGTTAACTAGGCTGTGGTGTTTCACGCCAGCTACTCCAAAACTGAAGTGAACCCTTCCAGTCTCGGAGAGAGAGCTTAGCTTCACTTACTTAAGAGCACTAAAGAGGCTGCAGAAAATGAAGGCTAGAAGCTCCTTAGAGCACACTTGCTGCGGCTTGTGACTCTGAAAGGCTGGGATTAATATGGAGCTAATAATGCCGGCACCCTCCCTGGAGCGTTCACATCGGCCAGGGGAGCAGCTGCTGCCCCACCTCTCCTCACAGGTGGCTCTCGCTTGTCTGAAGAGGCCGAGTGAGCTCTGTGCCTTGAGTACTGGCAGTGCCCTCCCCCCCCCCCCCCCAGCATGCCCCAGTCCCTGTTGCTCTGCTTATGCTGTGTCTCCAGCATGCTCTCCTGGAGCCCAGGCCGCCTATGGCCTGGTTGTCTCTCCTGACCCTCGCTCGGGTCTGTGTTGTACAAGCAGGAGAGGTTGTGCAGCATGTTGAATGGTACCAGGCCCTGGGGTCCACAGCCAGGGACAGACTCTGAGAATCTGTTTTCTGGAGATTGTCTTCGTCCTTGAGAGCAAATCTCATCATTTTCACACCAGCCTTGACTGTTCTTCCCTCTGGTCCTTCAATTCTTCTCTAACCCTTCTTCTGGTTCCCACCTGACTCACTTAGACCACATCTGTATATGCTGGCATTTCACTTGCTCTCCAGGACACTCCCTGATGACTCTAGAATGATTGTATATTCCTTAGATTGATTTTTTTCGGGGGGCAAGGGGGCAGGAGTCGTGAGGTATAGCTCCTAGCTGCAGCTGTAGCCCCCCTGGCTGCTCCAGGCCAGCGGTGGCATATTTGATTGTGCATCTACTGATGGCAAGCTGTGGTGGCATTCTAACTAGGGCAGTTTGCGTGATTTTATTTTATTTTTCTCTCTCTCTCTTCTTCCAATACCTCACGTCCTCTTTGAATTGATTTACATAAAATTAGGGTAGAACTTTCCAGCTCAGCATGCAAATATCTCATTAGATTTAGGCTGGCAGCTAATCTCCTGTGCTCGCCGTCAAGCCTGGGTCTCAGCTCAGTGAACACTCTGCTGGGGCCCGTTTCTGAGAAGACTACACATCTTCTTGTGTAGTCTCGGGGATGCAGGGAACAGGGGAAGACCTTCTGTTAGAGTGGTGACCAGATAAAGAGGGGCCTGTGAAGGCAGGGACTGAAAGGGGTGAGGAGTGTGTGCACTCTCAGATCAGACCAGGAGTTGAGTTAGGGAGTCAAGTTCCAAATGGCTTTGTCACAGCCTTTGTCACAGCGAGTAACCGATGCTACCAGGTCTCTTCCTGGTCTTGAGCTCACTAACTCAAAACCAAAAGTAATCATCAGGAAACTGAACACCTAACTGTCAAATCTTCTCTTCCTAGGATGGGGCTGTCCAGATGTACTCCGAATCCATTCCCCTAACAAGAATCTTCGACTCCCATTTCTCCCTCATCACCACACTCATCCTTGGCTGGGTCCTTCTCGGCCCCACAAAGCCCTGTAGTATCTACTGTCTTCTCCATACATTCACTCCCCACACCGTCTCTCACCTGACGGTCCTCAGGTTCTAACTCTGCCCTTGCCTCTCCGTATATAAGCCTGGAAAATGTTCTTAAACTGTAAAACCTGCATCTCAGTTCATTGCTTAAAACTCTGTAGTTTTAACTGCCTTTACAGTAAATTTAGCTCACTGAAAAGTTTAAGATCCTCAAGGCAAACAGAGTGTGGTGGTGCACGTCTTTAATCCAGCACAGGCAGAGGTGGGCGGTTCCTTTGTCCCCCTGCACGCCTGTGTGGCTTGGGGTAGCTTCAGTCATGCTGCAGGAAGCACCCCCAATCCAGCAGACCCATCACAGGCTGGACTGTGGTTCTTCCTCCCAGGGCACGTGTGCATCACGGCCCTGAAGAGGACCCTTGCTCACTGTAGTTTCTCAAAGACTCAGGTGAGCAGGTAATGTGTGGCTCTGGCATCCAAGACTAGGGCTGGGGATCCGGTGACTCATGCAGCGGCTCTAAAGCCTTCTTTCAGAAGGGCGTCTTCACAGTCGCCGGGACCTTTCCTTGTTCTAACTCTGGACAGTGCAGTTAGTTGCCTGCCTCCCTGCTCGCTCGGGTGGCTTTATCAACACTTGACAAATGATGGGAACTTAAAAACGTGCTGACTGAGTGGCTCAAACGACTGAATAAGCATGGCAATAATGCTTCCTACCCTGTCATCCCTTAGCGTTGTGTTCTTCTTCCTCTCCCACTGCTGCCTGAACAGCCCTGATTCATCCAGCCCTGATTCCACCTGCCACTGCCACGCGCCTTTCCTCAGACTGGCGTCAGTTGGACATCTCCAACCACCTACATGATATTTCTGCTTAAGTGTTTAAAAAGCATAAATGTATTATTGTTGTTGTTTGAGACAGGGTTTCTCTGTGTAGCCTGGCTGTCCTGGACTCACTTTGTAGACCAGGCTGACCTCGAACTCAGAGATCCACCTGCCTCTGCCTCCCAAGCGCTGGGATCAAAGGCGTGCGCCACCACTGCCCAGCTTTAATTTTGTTTTTTTAACAAACACTTGTTATTTTTCTGGTCCAGCATTATACTAATTGAGATAATGAAACAGTACTCACTTTCTGTGTTTTTAGTCTAGTTTAATATATGGGAAAATATAACGAATCTACAGTGTATGTACAGTATAGAAAATGCTGAGGAAACAGAATAGAAAGAAAAAATGATGCAGAACAAGATGACCTTGGAGCTTGTGTTGTCTCAACTATTTGTTTTATGCTTGGTGCTAAAGATGTTATAAACAAAGCAAATATTTTTATCCACTTCACATTCCAGTGGGGAAACAGGTTGCCAAGGACAAGCTGGGGTTGTGACACAGCATGGGACAGTGTTGTGTGACAGGCTAGTTTGTGCACTGAGCCCCATTCACAGTGTCTAGAACGACATCATTATTCGTAAGAGGCTGGCCTGAAGGCGGGCACTTAGCTTCAGCCTCTACGTCAACATGTTCTCTGTCTGATTTGAAACTGCTGCTCCATGTTTGCCAGGACACAGCATCCTCCCTCAGTGCTTGCTTTAATTTGCTGACTGTATTCGGCCACCATCTTACTGTTATCCTGAGCAAGTCATAACTGCTTCCAGTTTCCCCACATGAGCTCTTCAGGTTCTAAGGTCCTGTAATCTAGTAACGTATTTCTCTCTGTTCACTGCTTTTACACTGTGCTTTGTTTAGGTGTTGTTCAAGAATTAACGAAATTTAGCTGGGCATCGTGGTGCACATTTTTAATCCCAGCATTCAGGAGGCAGAGGCAGGTGAATCTCTGAGTTCAAGGCCAGCCTGGTCTACGTACTGAGACCCTGTCTCAAAAAGAGTAGAAAAAAGTTAACCACATTCTTGGAATTGTCATTACTGTGGAGGACAGTAAGGTCAAACATGATTTTCTTTCTTGAAGATCTTCGATGATGCTTACAAATCTCAGCTCAGCTGTGTGGTCGTGGATGACATCGAGAGACTGCTTGGTGAGTTGTGACTTCGGCCGTTCATGTGTGACTTCGCCGCACATGACAACTGGAATCCCGAAATTATAGGAGGAGAGTATTTCCGTGGGACGTTGGAGGCGAAAAGGCAATAGAAATGCCTTTCTTTTTCTCAGAGGGACTGTAACAGCATCTCTCATAAGAAATCAGTAGTCAGATGAGCTAGCAGCCTCATTTTCTCTAGTGTGTCCTGTCCAAGATAAATGAGCAACGTAGGGTAATAAATATTGAAGCTCTGAAAATTAAAGGTGCTCTACAGTAATTAAAAAAAAAATACCTATTAAATATCTCTTAGGTTGAAGTACAGTGGTTACACAGATGAGTAAGACCTAGCCCCACCCCCCACCCCGCACCCAACTCAGTAACCAACTATTAAATGTCAGAAAAGCTTTGTCACTTTTGTATTTTGTTCGTTGTAAATGAAGTCAGTCTGGTGTGTGTCACTATGACAGTGGGTCAGGATGGAACATGCACTGTTGAAACAGCCAGCTGGTGACCTAATGAACACTGGGGACACTGCCCGGCACTGGCTACACTCATGCGCAGTAATGACTCCAAGTTAACTGTTCTTCACTTCCCTGTGGTGTGCAGCCTCAACATTGGGTCGTTTGCTATTTGCTTTTGAAGTTTGGGTAATATTTATTGTGAAACAAAGCACGTATATCTATAAGGCCTCCTCAAATTAATAGTGCTTATCTAATGGCCAGGACTTGGGATGTGCCATGTTTGGGACATTACAGGCCAGTTTATAGGATTATTTCTTTAAGAACTTTTAGTCATGTGCATGGCTCCCTATAAATTTCTTTCTCTGAGCATAATCAAGGCATGTGGTCACAGCAACACACTGTGTCAAGAACTTGTGCCGTGGGCTGGAGAGATGGCTCAGTGGTGAAGAGCACTGGCTGCTCTTCCAGAGGTCCTGAGTTCAATTCCCAGCAACCACATGGTGGCTGACAACCATCTATAATGAGATCTGATGCCCTCTTCTGGCATGCAGCTGTACTTTCTAATCTTTATAACATACATTGCCAGAAAGTAACGTAACCTATGTCCTGGCTGTTCAGAAAACCTTGATTTCATGGGGCAGATGCCAGCAGGGCTCTGAGCACAGATGGCTCAGACAGAGGAAACTAGGGAAGAGAGTCCTCCAGTTGCCTGCACTGCCTTCTCTGAAGGGCAATCTGAACACCTCTCTATCCTTGTGCCTATATTACCATTTCTTTTCCTATCATTTTCAGCTCCTTCTTCTCCTCCTGGGATCTCCACCACTGAGCCACATCCCAGCCAGTTTCTACCTATTTTTAATGTCAAACTTTGTCATCAGTGTAACATATGTAAATATACTCTGACGGTTTCCAGTAATTTCTTAGAATGCTTGGTTAAAAACACCTGGACATTCTCTCCTCTGGTGGGAAGGGTGAAATGAGTCTCTGAAGACCAGAAAATACATCTGCATGATCCAAGTGGATATTTGGAAGCTTTTTTAAATGTACGGATAAGTCCTTGTGTACCACCCTGAGAATGTAGATTGCTAAGGGTGTCTTTTTCTCGGCAGAGCTGCCTGCCTCTTGGTACAGCTGACGTTCACCCTCGATGCAGACAGGTCTGCATGCTCGGACGTGTGGCCCCAAGGTCCCCACCCCTGAGCCACTGCCATGTTTCTCTTTCAGATTATGTCCCCATTGGTCCCCGGTTCTCCAACCTGGTGTTGCAAGCTCTTCTTGTGTTGCTGAAAAAGGCGCCTCCTCAGGTAAATTAGTACTAACAATATTTTTACAGAATCCAGGAAAGCTTATAGAGTGGTGCCCGCCAAGTATATGGGTAATCACAGACATGCAATTCTGTTGTTCTGGAAGGGGCATCTGAGGTAGCCTTCTGTCTTAAGGCAAATTGTTTTCCTGTTTTGTTTTGTTTTGTTTTGTTTTCCCAGACAGGGTTACACCGTGTAGCCTTAGCTGTCCTGGACTCACTTTGTAGACCGGGCTGGCCTCGAACTCACATCGATTCACCTACCTCTTCCTCCCTGAACACTGGGATTAAAGGTGTGCATCACCATGCCTGGCTTTAATTGTTTTCTTTCTTTTTTTTTTTTAATACTTTATGTTATTTTATGTGCATTGATATTACCTACATGCATGTCTGTGCAAGTGTGTCAGATCCCCTGGAACTGTAGTAGTTACAGACAGGTGTGAGCTTGCCATGTGGGGGCTGGGAATTGAACCCGGGTCCTCTGGAAGAGCAGCCAGTGCTCTTAACTGCTATGCCATCTCTCCAGCCTTCAAACTGTTTTCCTTAACAGATTTTTTTTCCTTTTCTGAAAAAAATCAAGGTCTGACAGTTTCAGTTAGTTTTCGTTCTTGTTTTATGAATTCCCCAGCGTATTCCACAACCTTAGCCCCGTCGCCTCCAGAGGGAGATTGTGACACAGATGTAGAGAGGATCAAATACCTGTTCCTGTTTGTTTCCTTTATCACTTGATGGTTTCCCTGAGAACACTTATTTGAGGGCTGCATGCGGAGGTACCAAACGGGCAGGTTTGCTGCCGTGGTTTTCCGCTTGTGAGGGTGGCCTGAAGTTGTTCCTCCTGTGACACACGCTGCCCTTGAGAAGCAGAGCTGGGCTCTCCCTGATAAGGCAGCCAGAGATGGTGATTGTAATCCCTTAACAGATGCAGAAGCATCCTGTGAGGGTAGGTTAGATGTATTACTTACGCTGAGGTTTCCAGAGTATGCTTGGCTGTGTCACAAGATGGATTCTTGAGGTTGATTCTGTATGGTAGAACACTGAAGAAATGCCAGGCAAAGGGAAGAAAGGCAGAGGGTGAGCAGTTATTTGAAAGCATCTTAGTGTCTGTGTGGAAGTCTCATATACAATATGTTATGAGCAGAAAGAAATAATAAAAATTGTTTGTGGCTCTACTATGTAATTTAGCAGTTAAAAATACACATGCATATTTTACACTTAAAGACTGGTCTTACTTTTCTAGGTTTTTAGTGCTTCTTAAAAATTTTCTAAAGTCATAAAAGATACATAACGTCCTTAAAATTTTGAAATATATGCAATATGAAAGGATTTCTTTTCTGTGCTGGGTATCAAACCTAGGGCTTCCTGCATACTAGGCAAGTTCTCTAGCCCTAATTAATAGTTTCTCTTTTGATTTTGAGATGGCGTTCTCACTATGGTGCCCAGGCGCTCTCAAATTCCTGGGTTTGAGTGATTCTTGCCTTGGCCTTTTTGAAGTCAAGAGAAGTGAGGTGGGGTTTTTTTTTTTTTTTTTTTTTTTTTTGGATTTTTTTTTTTTTTTTGGCCTTCTCTTGATTCTCTAGATGCATATGTCTAAAATTGCTAAAACAAAATAATTTCTATATATTCATACCTGCTTTTTATAGAGATAGCATATTTAAAAATTTTAGAATGGGAGAGATTTTTAAGGCATCCAACTATATTTATTATAATATTCAGCTTTTTAAAAAAATGCAAAAGTTCACTTAGGAGAAAAATGAATAGATTTTCAGTGTTATTTTTAAACTTCTTTACCTGGTCACATATTATCTATGTGAGTTTAAATATTCATTTCTTCCCTGAGAGCTCTTCATATCCAAAATAGATGTAAATAGAAAATACTAACAAATGGCATGTTTTTAAAAGTTTTAAATATCTTTTCATTGTATTTGTATTGGGGCACATGCCATAGGGCCCTGTGGAAGCCAGAGGACAGCCTTCAGGGGTTGTTGGTTCTCTCTATTCAGCTTTAAGTGGGTTCTCAGGGTTGAACCTGTTTTTTTAGGCTTTCTCGAAAGCACGTTTGCCCCCAAAGCCATCTTGTTGCAATTTCATTAGAGACAAAAGAAAAACTGTTTCTGTTTCTTAAAATATTTGTAAGACTCTTAAGGAAAGGAAAATTATATAATGCTTCTAAATCTCACCACACACATGCATCCTTCCTAGTTTATTCAAACAACACATTGAATATATACATATAGCTGTATATGCATCATCTTGTATTGATGGTCTTAGGTTATATGGTTTAGTGTAAAAATACTCTAAAAGTAGTTGATGGTACATGCCTTTAATCCCAGCACTCAGGAAGCAGTGGCAGGCAACTCGCTTGGGTTCAAGGCCAGTGTGGTCTACAGAGCAAGTCCCAGGATACAGCCAAGACTATACATAGAGAAACCACGTCTTGAAAAATAAATAAGTAAATTTTAAAAAGGGAAAGAAAGTCCAGGAGCCAGCAGATAAAGGCACTTGTCCTATAAGCCTGATGCCCTGAGTTCAACCCCAAGAAGTTCAATCCATGAAAAAGTAGAAGGAGAAAACTGACTCCACAGAGATGCCCTCTGACCTCACCTTTGTAACATGGCACATGGGCTCCCCCACCACTCACACACACTCATTTTTTTAATAATTTATTTATTTTATTTTGTGTGCATTAGTGTGAAGGAGTCAGATCCCTTGGAACTGGCGTTACAGACAGTTGTGAGCTGCCACATGGGTACTGGGACTCAAACCCAGGTCCTTTGGAAGAGCAGACAGTGCTCCTAACCGCTGAGCCATCTCTCCAGCCCCACTATTTTTTTTTTTTTTAATTTTATGTGAAACTCAAATGACCAGTTAATACACAAGCAGGTCATTCATATTGTCATTCATCAGGGACTGTAAATCAAGACCAATATAGTGAAGTACTTTATTTTATTTTGGATTATAGATAACTATGATCCAAAAGTCAGATAAAAGTAAGTGTTGGTGAGGAGTTAGAAAAGCTGGAAACCATATAAACTGTTAATAAAAATACTTAAATCTGGGGCTGGAGAGATAGCTCAGCAGTCCTGAGTTCAATTCCCAGCAACCACATGGCAGCTTACAGCCATCCGTAATAAGATCTGATCGCCACTTCTGATTTGCATGAAGACAGCATACTCATACATAAAACAAATGTTTTTTTTTTTTTTAATTTAAAAAAATTAAAATGTTAAAATCTGTTGCCTTTGGGAAAGTTTAGCAGTTTCTCAAACAGTAACTTCAAGTGAGGAGGAGGCCCATCAGTTAACTCCTAGAACATACCCAAAACAAATGAAAACACACACCTGCACCAAAGCTTGTTTGTGAATGTTCATAGCAGGATTATTCATGAGACCCAAAAGGAAAACAACTAGAATAAACTAATTTACAGTCACAAAGTGGAATTCAGGGATGAAAATACACTCAGTACATGCTTCGATATAAATGGACCTTGACAATGTGATAAGTGAGAAAAGACGATCACAAAAGACCACATACTATGATTCCACTTTGTCCTTTCTTTCTTAGACTTATTTTATTTTAAATGTATGGGTGTCTTGACTGCATGTATGTCTGAATACTACATATGTGACACATGCCCACAGAGATACAGAAGAGGGTATTAGATATACTGGAACTGAAGTTACAGGTGGTTGTGAGCCAACATGTGGGTGCTAGGCATCAAACCCAGGTCTCCAGCAAAGAGCAGCTAGGGCCCTAAAGTGCTGTACCACCTCTCCAGTATGATTTCATTTCTATGAGGTGTCCATAGTTGGCCTTTGAGAGAGAAAATCCATTATCAGTGTCTGCTGGGGCCTGGGAGGCTGGATTGGGAGAGTAAGAGGCGACTGCTAATGAGGGTCGCATTTCTCTTTGGAGAGATGAAAATAATCTAAGATCAAGTGTGGTGACAGGTGCCTGTATCTGTGAATGTACTGAAAACTGTTGAGTTACACACTTTAAGTTAGTGAAGTGTGTGCTTTGCAAATTATATCTCAATAAGATTGTCACATTTTTAAAATGTAGTTTCTCAAGCTATGTAAATGATGAAAGAAGAGTTATACAGAGAGTTAAAAGTAAAGGGCAAGCCACTGGGGGACGTGGAGAAATCCCAGCTTGGGAGCAGTCTTACACCCGGCAATTGGATCATTAAAAAGGGCTGTGGAATGAATTTCTCTGAGAAGTAAAGATGTATGTAAGAAGTAAGAAACCTGGTTGCCTTAGTGACAGGGAATGGCAGGGATTCTCTCTTAAGGGAACACTGGCCTGTCATTAGTCAGAATTTGGTAACTCTGACCCCTGCCTGCCAGGTGACCTGCTGCATAAGAATTTGTGGCAGAAGGAATTAATATTGGAAGTACTTCTCATTGACGCACGTTTAACAGGATAAAAACAAGCCTTGTCTGCACCACCTGGCTTTGTAAATTTATTGTACATTGTCTCAAGAAAATGAAAACAGTTTTAAGCTGGTCCAGTGTCAAGGGTGTCGGTGACGCTGTAGTAGGAGCATCCTCTTGAGCAAACCAGCGCCGCATGGATTTTTCAATTTAATGTTTAAGCTGGAGGCACTGAGTCAGGTAGGGAGTGTGGGTCACAGAAAACTGTTCTCTCTGGCAAACGAAAACAAAACAAACACCATGGGCATCCTACTTTAGAAAGCACTGTACATCTTACAGGACCACAGTTGCATCGCAGAGCCTTTATTTTTGCATTTGTTTCAATTCTAGCTTTCTCGAAGCAGCACTGTGTCATGCACGCTCTGATGAAAGGGTCCCTCCAGGGCCAGTGTTGTTATGTACCCAGATATTCCCTTTCCACTTCCCCTCCCCCACCCCTCCCTTCTTGTAAATTGGCTTATTAAAACTGGGTCTCAAGCCCTCCTTTTCTCCCTTTGTGATCGCCTTGTTCTTGGATTTTCGGTGTAGAACTAAAAATTCAAGGCAGATTTCAGTTACTAGGATAATTTTC